AAAAAAAAAATTGAAAAAAAAAAAAAAAAAGACTGACCAAGTTTAGATTATCCACATTTGGAAGAAGGAGGAAGATGGATAATAGAAAATTTTATTTCTCTTCATGCTTAGGACACAGTGTTTAGGGCAGGGTTTTTATCAGTTTTCCTAATGATGAGCTTTGGATCAAAATGCCTTTACTTTTCCTAAGCCTGCCCTACTGGAAAGGGAGCAGCCCCAAAGGAGACATCAAGCTAGGAGTAAAATTTGGCTGAAATTAATCTGTTCAGGGACTCAAAAATTTGATTGTTGGGCAGCCATTTGGGGTTAAAGATTTAATAATTCTTTCTAGTAACTGTAATGATAGTGCATGGGACTAGGAGGGACCTTTTTTTTTTTTTTTATGAATACAAAATGCTTTGCTGTGTATAATTGCCTTCATTTGTCTCGCATCTTTGGAATATGGAGAGAAAGCCTAGCTGTCCTCACTTTTTGAATGGACACAAGAGTATGCTGAGAAAATGGATGATGGTTCAAGGTTGGTTGCAAAATCCCTTCCAACCGAGGACCATTCATACAATCCATGCAGCATCTCCAGGAACAGGTAGCCTCATCCAAGGAGGATGCATGAAGCTCTGGATGGCATGAGAGTGGTAGCCTGGAGTGAAAAAATTCTTCGGAGATAACAAGAACCAGAATCCATTCAGTCTTCTTGGTTTAAAAATGGGGAGTCCTGCCCAGTTTTCTCTGCAGGCCCTGCTGCACCAGGCTCAGTAATGTCTGTCTCTCCGTGAACTTGGTTCAAAAGGTTGGGAGAGGGCTGTGGCCTCACTGGAGCAAGTGGACCCAGAATCCAAAAGAAACGTGGATTGTTAGTGTGTTCTCACCCAAGGAATTTCCTTTACCGATTTGTCTCACTAGAGATGAAGAGTCTAGAGAGCTTCCTCATGCCCCCACCGTCAAAGGGTAAACATCCTGTGAGTGTCCCTGGCACACATCCTGGAAACGCTCCCCGGACAGGGCCCCACTTCTTCCCTGTAATGCCTGTGTCCTCTCCAGCCTCTGCCAACTTCTGGCCACTTCTGACGCTCTTTAAGGTCATTGCTGTCAACTTTGAAAACGTTTGGAATGTCTTTGTGACCTAGGATGGTCTTTTGAAGAGACTTCATGGAGAGTCCCGGCTGGTTTTGGCAGCTTCTTTTTTTTGGGCGGGGGGGGGTTGCCTTTCATCAAGGCCTCATGACTTACTCTGATTGCCTAAACCTGATTTCAGCAAAGTGTGCAGTAGCTTTTACCCCATTTGAAATGTGTGGTGGTGTTGGCCAGTCACACAGTGTTCTCAGAAAACCGAGGATCTGTATTTAGTTCTCTCTGCCTTGTATTTTATGGGGCCCCAACTTTCCCCAAGGGCCACTATGTGCTAGTCTGTTGATTTAGTCCTACTGTCTGCATAGTCTCCTGATTGCCCGTGTGCTTCCCACACTCAGGAACTAGAAAGTAGCTACTGTTAACTTCTTAGGTGGTCTTTGATTTTTTTTAAACTGGGACACACTTCACTTCAGACTAACATGTAATATATATTCTCGGACTCTAAACTTAGTGGGCAAATCTGAGTCTGCCGGTTCCCCAACTAGAGTTGGCCCTCCTGTAGCCTATCAAGAGGTTGACAGAATGCCCCTAAGTTACCTTGCCAGGTGCATGGAATTGATGGGGTTCGGCTTTAAATGCTTTTGCTTTTGTCCTCAGCCAGGTTACAACAGCCCTTGTCTCTTTTGCTAGGTATTATTGGTGGATTGACCAGTGTGATCACCTCAACAGTGGAAGGAGTGAAAACAGAAGGGGGTGTCAGCGGTTTCATATCTGGCCTTGGGAAAGGGCTCGTTGGCACTGTAACCAAGCCAGTGGCAGGTGCCCTGGATTTTGCATCAGAAACAGCCCAGGCAGTGAGAGACACAGCCACGCTCAGTGGCCCGAGGTCAGTAGTCATTGGGGGGGGGGGGGGGGGTGGGGAGAGTCACTTTTGTGATTTCCAGCCCAGGTCTGCTGCCTCTCCTGATCTATGCTGATGTAATTAATCGTATACTTTCTGCCTTAAGATGCCATTTTTTAAAACTTGAATACATGTATCTAAAATTTCTGACCTGCCTAATATAAATACATGAAAATAAGGCACAAAAATCTGGCATAAATTCTTCCAGATCTGTATCTGCCTATCTTTATCTATGTCTATAATTCATATATATATAAAATGTTGTTTTTCTTCATTAGAGGGGTCAGAAATAGGATTACACCCTTACAAATCACCAAACTAACTAGACCCCCCACATGCACATTAAGAAAACTATCAGGCTGCAGGCTGTGTCTGGCTCCTAGGCTCCTTGGCATGTTCTAGAATCCCTGCAGTTGCAGTTCACCACGTGAGTCTGTCCTTTCTTAGTTCTCCTTCCACTTGGACGTGCGGGCCAGTCCCCCAGCCTCATGAAGGAATTCCCCAGGCAGGTTGGCAGTTCTGCTGTGAGATGCCATCTTGCCTTGATACCAGCTGAGAAGGGAAATCGGGGGCAGCCCATATGGCTCTGCAGCCCACAGAATCCAACTACTTTAACATAGCTCTTTGTGTTAATAGCCTATTTGAGCCTTCCTTTTTCAGAGTGACTAATTGGGGATCTTATCAACAAAGGGTATAATGAATGTTACAGTTCCCAGCCAAGCTGGATGCCACTTAAGCCCAGAAGGATTTTGCTGCTCCCTGGTTAAGAGATATTCCCCGAGGGAATTAGCGTGCCCTTTTAGAATGTCTAGGGCCTGGGCCTTGTCCACACCCTATTGCTCCCTCGAATAGGATTTGAAGTGAAATCGTCCCCAATTAAAATGAATCCATGTGTCTGTCACCAGGAAGCCTTACCGATGACACATTACTGCAGGGGAAATGCTTAAGATTATAGACTGGGACCATGTAATATGTTCTGCCAGAATGTCTTCCATCTGGAAGCAGCTGCTTTTTAAAAAAGGATCTGTAGAGTTTACTTTACTTAAGTTACATTCTATTCTCAGATACAGGGCTGAAACAATCCTTGAGTATATTTTGAAGCATTTATGAAGTTGGGGGGAGGGGCAGTAGGGAAGCTTCAGAAGTATTTCCAGTTAGTTTTTCTGTGCCTGCTGGAAGCCCCAGAAGTCCACCTCCACTATTTTGTTAGGACAATAAGACCTAACGATGCGTGAGTAAAGCAGGAGACCCCTAAGAATTCCGAAAGAAGCCTCCTTATTTGTAAAATCCCAGAGTGGCCAAGGGATTGAGTGATTTGTTTCAAAAGGGGTCTGAGGTATATGTGTTTAATTTTTAAAATATCATCTTTTGTTAGGAACTTCAGTGATATTGACCAGAAAGAAATGACTTGAAGTTTCTATGGTATCAGTTTGGAAGTCTTGATAAAGCTTTGCCTTCTTTTTAGGAGCATAAGAAAGGCACAAAATGGTTGCCGCAGAAAGCAAGATATCCTTGCAGTTTCATGGGCTGTCCTGCCCTGATATAGCAGGTTCCAGTCGTGTCACCAGGTGTACACCTGTCAGTCAGTCATTTCTAGCCAGTAAATATTGATTGAAAATTTTCTAAGGACTCGGGGTTGGGAATCTAGCAGAAAGAGGGCCCTGCTCTTCCCCTGGTCCAGTGGGGAAGCAAACATAAAACAAATTATTAGGGTAATAATTACTTGCTAAAATTGTGATAAATGACACAGGAGATTTACAGGGTGCTGTGAGACAATGTAATTGGAGAAAGTAAAGGGGAGAAGGAGGTTGGCTAACCTGTGCTCAGTGGGGTCACGAAAGGCTTTTCAGGGGAAGTGCTGTTCCGAAGTCCAGTGTGCTATCCATTGCGCCATGGAGCCCCCTGGGAAGTGCTAGTTAGGATGAAACCTGAAGCATATGGTGGGGGTTGGCCAGGTGAAGGGAAGAGAGAATCACATTCCAGGTAAAAGGGGTCCAGAGAGGCTAGGCAACCTGCCTGAAAACAAACAGTAATCAGGCATTCTAATTGAAGTCTAGCTGCAAATTCCCTGAAATAGCTCTTTGTTGCCCTTCACTCCTAGAAACAAAAGCTACAGTGGTAAGTGAGAAGCAGCCAGCTAGTCATCGGCCTGGGGACCTGGGAGCTTCAATGAGGGGCAAGTAAGCTTCTGCATCCCCTCTCTGTTCTCAGAGGAGCCACTGGTGGGAGAGCCCTGGCCAAAGTTGCCAGAGGGGAGTGGGGCATGTGCTGGGCTGTCTAATTGGGAGCCTCGAAGAGATTTGGCCTTTACCCTTTATTGCACTGAAAATTACAGCTTCTTCTGACACACTTTGACCAGTTTCCCTCCGTCCACTTGTCTGGGTCCCAAAGTAGGTTATTAATGACCATCCATGTGTTAGAAAAGAACACTTGGCCTGGAAAACAGCAGGTCTGGGTCCCAACCCCCCTCTTAGCTTAAGTCTCCTCACCTCCTTAAGCCTCAGTTTTTCCATCTATAAATTGGGAATAAATATACCTGTCTGTTTATTCCCTCTTTCAGAGGTCTGAAGCCCAACCAGGGTTATTTTAATGTGGATGCTATAAGGAACTATAAAATGCTGGACGGTCCTATTTTTGAAAGTCACATTAAAGGAGCACAGAGATTCTTGCAGGTGGAGAAATGTTTCGGTGCCTTGAGGGTTTGTTCTGATGACACTGTGATCTCTTAGGAACATACTAGTTCTACCAAGGGATAAATCACCCTGGTTTCTTGGAAGTGAGTTATAACCATCTCCAATCATCCCAGTTGATTGAACAGGATCCAGGGGTGTTACTCAGGGTTTTTCCCCACTGTTTAGACAACAGGGACTAACAAATGATTTGAAGGGATTAGAAGTGAGATTCTGACCGAAGGCTGACCTGAGCCCAGGGACCGAGCCAGGAATAGAACCCAGGAGTCCAAGAGTTCTGCCTCTGAGTCTGCTCTTGGAATGAGACTTTCTGCTTCCTTTGTACTATTTCGTCCAAGTGAAGGCTTAGATCTTAGCATCTATGTTTTAAATGACTCAAATTTTAAGCAGATGATAGCAAAGTAAGCCATAAAACTGTGAAAGAATATTCCTTCCAGTAATCCATCTGAAAAGTGGCCTTACAGGAAATATTGGCTCCTTTTCGTGTTTATTTGAACATGATTTTATTTATAGGGAGCCCCCCCCGCCTTGAGTTCCTTTAGATTAAAATACTTCCAAGTTCCTCTCTTTGGTGGAATGTGCAGGCATTCCGAAGAGACAGTCACCTAACTTTCCCCTGAAATTGCCATGCCATCTGATAGTTCTTGGGAAGGCAGGTGGGGGTGGGGGGTGAAGAGGGCGGAGGACAGCAGAGCCTTTGGCCTCCGCATGAATGTTGTAGACCAGTATCCCCTGCTGCATTCGTTAACTGTGCAAGTATGTGTGGTTTGGAACCGAAATAAGAAGCCTTTTCCAAGGCAACGTTGTGCTGGCTCAGGTTGCATCTTCTAGTCTACGTGTATGGGGCCACATTTGTCTGTTCCCAAGTAAAGTTCATGAAAATGGCACAGCTGGTGGCCACACTTGTGGTCCATGGAAGCCATGCCAAACAGGCCAGGCCAAAGCAGGGCACCCGCTGGGCTGCCTGCCCAGCTCCTGCATGTGTGGTGGTATTTGATGGTAGTATTTGAAAAGATACTTGGGTGGGTAGAAAGCCGCAGAGACCCAGGGGCAGCCATTGCCCAACGGAAGGCAAAAATAATGTTGAAAAGGGGAGTATTGGGCTCTGGGCTATTTATTGGCTTGTTTATTTCTCTAAATACCATCTGTTGTAGGCTTCGGGCTACATGACATTTTAGGAAAGTAGCAGATGATGATTTATGAAGCTACGCCCTGAGGTTTCCTCCAAAATATTTCTTCACCTTTTTAGTCAAGACCCAAAATGGGGAGAGAAGTGGGAGCTGGCAGAACTTGAAATATTTAAACTAATTTAGCAAAGCTCAGGAGTGTTGGAGCTTATCTCATTTAAGTTAGATAAGGAGGAAAGGGGAATTTGAAGGATAATGATAGAGCAGTGCTTAAGAATACAGCCATCAGGACTTTGATAATGCTCTGGAATCCCAGGACCCCTGTATTGTGCACGTAGATGTAAATTCCAGTTGCTCTGAGGGCTTTCAAGTAACCTTTTGGTTGATGTCATGGAAAAGATTTATGGTAGGCATATTTGACTTTTTCAGTACAAACACTCCCAAGACACCACCCAAAATTCGTTCAAGACACTTTCAATTAATGGCCTTCTGGATGTGAAAGTGAAGCGGATTTTCTTAAGGAAAAGTCCTTTTTGTTATAATGTTTGCATTGTACCGATGACTGTCCAAGACGGAAGGGAAAGACCCTCTTGGGTCACCAGAACCTGAATGCCGTCAGGTTGGACAGATCGGAAAAAAGTCCACAAAGGAAATTTAGGAAATGCTTTCACTACTCTTTCATTCCAGTTTGGAAATACTGCTGGTAATGATTCGGCCCTGAAAGCAGCCATTTGTCCTTCCTGGTTTTATACATAACACATTAAGCCAAACTGGTTTGAACGGAGCCTTCAGGGAACTTTCAGAGGTAAAAATCTTAATAAAAGTTGAAATGTTTGTTAGGATATGCCAGTGCCATCAGTTTTTTCCACCAGTGTTCCACCTAAGGCAGAGGAGAGTGGACTGACGTCCCCTGTATCCGGGGACAGGAGCAAGTCCAATATTGCTTGGAAGGTTTGTTTTATCTGAAAACCGTAAATGAATTTTACCTTTTATCCCATGTTTGTTTTCATAAGATAATGTTTTTAATAAATGCTACCAAGTAGAATGAGCCCTTCAGAAGGATACACCAGGTCATCCTGTAGCTTCCTCCTCATACTCCTTTAAGAGCCACAAGACATGCTTTCCAGATGAGTCCTGCAGACCCTCGTAGCACTGATGTAAAGACAGG